CAACAAATTAGCTAGTTTAACATGTACAAGTCTTCTAAGATGTTTTTTGAGTCATGTATGATGTTTCAAAGCATATTTTACTAGTTTTGGAATGAAATCGATACCCCGTAACCCAAAATGGCATCTGATCGTTTTAAACGTATGTCAACATTTCTACTCATGTAGTGTTCATTTAGGTTTATTCACATCTGTAACCACGTGGAAGTTTATGTGTGAAAGTTTTAACTATATTTTGACGTTGCGATCAACACATTTGTTCAAATTATAGTAAGTTACTCCATAATCTAGTAGGAAACTGCGCTACACTTCACAATAAAGAAAAACATAAGTAGCAAGTATGATATCGAAAACATAGCACCTGTTGTCGTTCAATGTGTACGAGTCATGTATAATGTTTCAAAGCATGTTTTACTAGTTTTCGAAGTGAAATCGATACCCCATGACCCAAAACGACATCTAATCGTTTAAACTTGTAGCTGACGTTTATCCTCATTTAGTGCTCGTTTCGATTCATTTACGCTCGTAACCACGTGAGAGTTTGGGGATGAAAGTTCGAAGTGAAATCGATGCCTCGTGATCCAAAATGGTATCCAATCATGCAAGTCTTATATAATGTTCGAAACACTATTTTACTAGCTTTGGAGTGAATTTGAGACCCCTTCATCCAAAACGGCGTGTTGTCATTTTACACGTAGAGGTGCCATTTAGGGGTTAGAGTATACAAAAATATAGCACACATAATCATTAAATATGTACAAGTGAAATTGAGACCCTATTACCCAAAACGACGTGTTATTATTTTATAAGTATGTCTGTCATTTAGAATATACAAAACATAGCATGTCTCACACTAAAATTGACCCATCACCTAAAATGGTGCATGAATATTTTAATCGTATGACTGCCATTTTTTCTACTTTATTGTTCAGTTCGCATCATTTTCGATCATTCAACCCGGACAAGTCATCTATGATATTCCAAAACTTGTTTCGTAGTGAAACCGAAACCTCGTGACCCAAAACAGCATGTTATCGTTTTAAACGTATAACTGCCGTTTTCCAACCTGGGTGAATTTGCGCAGTTCGCATAAATATACAAGTTTCATAAAAACTGCAACTCCGTTTCAACTCTGACTGCTCTAATGTTTGAATAAAACATTTATATAATGGAAAACATAGCAATCAATCATAAAAATCAACACTAATTAGACAAAATCCGCATCCATGAACTTGTTTTCTATCTAAAT